CCCGGTTTATTAGAGACTCAAACAGCATTTTGTGTCTTCAATTATTTTTTTTACATTAAATTGTTTCCAAAGCATAAAGCACAAGGCTACACTTGTACGAATGATTGTTAAAGAGTTTTGGCATTGTTCGCATGATATCCTTCTTGTCATTTTTTTTTTTTTTTTTTTTAATTTCAAAATAAAGAGTTTTGGCATTGTTCGCATGATATCCTTCTTGTCATTTTTTTTTTTTTTTTTTTTAAATTCCAACAAAGTCCAATAGTCGTGGCTTTGCAGTGTACCGGATACCTACTACGTATTGTTCGTGGAAAAAAAAAAAAGGAACGTTGACTCGAAATAACCAGTAAAATATGACCACGTTCCAGTTTCCTATCGAATGCTTTCATCGTACGTGCAACCGAACTGCAACTGCAGCGCAGATGCACTGCCACACTGCACATTCGATGCACAACGCGTTCGCATGCCTGTTGTATGGGGAATAGCGAAAAATAAAGTTCGAAGAATCCACTGACTCATTCGGAAGGTACGAGATACGAACTTTTCTGTACGTTCTATTTTGTGCTGTGTAAAACTAAAGCCGCGTTTCGTCTTTCCGGTTCACCGGTGCAACCGATGCACCCGATGCACTCGACGCACCAAAGTGCCGGTAAATTCGTGAGAGTCGCGATTGCCTTTCGCCAAATGGATGCAACTGCACTTGTCTCATTGCACTTTGCGGCTTCTCCGTAACTTTGACAATTTCCTCTTTTTTTTCTTTTTTTTTTTTTTTTACCGAACCCAGAGGATGATGCGGCGAAATGCATCGTTGCGATTAATGTTGCATCGACTTGGAAATTATCGATGATTATACCGATGCACTTTTGCTGCTCTTGTCATTTTGCATCCTGATATTGGAGTCGCTCGAACGACGTTGCGATGCATTTTATGCAGTTTCTTTTTTCCTGGACAAAAATTTTATATCTTCTCCCGACATTCTACGTGCCGTTCCGCGTGGTTAACCTTGTAGATCTTTATTTTTACTTTGAGACGATTAATCAAAGGTGATCGATGACTGTGCACTTCGATCTCGTCCTTCTTGTCTCAGGAATGCATTTCCCTAGCTCTCCCAAGGCATCCTGGGTAAGATCGATCGATCCTACGGGAATGAAAAAAAGAAAAAAGATTGGCAAAAAAAATTTCTTATCCGTTTATTTTTTTTTTATCAATCAACAACTTCAATTCACCACCGTACGCTTCGTGTCTCGACAATTCAATCTACGTGACAATTATGCGTACGACCAATCACGAGAAAGGATATTTTTTTGAAAATTTCTTTACCGGCCAGTTATCTCGATCGTTTGAGAATTCCGTAAAATATCGATGAATAATTTCGAATGTACATACGTTCTCAATGCCCTGCAATTTTATTCTCGGTTCACTTTATTAGCTTTTATACGTATCAATGTCTTACTCCGATTAAACAAATTTCTTAGTGATTCAGTTTATTACGATTGATGAAAACTGCAGAATCTCATCGAGGACCTGAAAAGCGAACTTGGCGGACATTTCGAGGATGTCATTGTGGCTTTGATGATTCCACCGGTCGATTACATGGCCAAGCAACTGCACAAGGCAATGGACGGTATTGGCACCGAGGAGGAAACCCTCGTGGAAATTCTCTGCTCCCGGGACAACCGTGAAATCGCGGAAATCGTCGAGGCCTACGAGAGACGTGAGTACTATTTTCATTGTGCAGATTTAAATAGAGAGGGGAATCCCCATTGGAAGGCAGACTTTTTCCGGATTTATTGAATCAAGTCCCCGTGACGTAAAGTCGAACCAGTGAGATTCCGTGAAACTTGTATATATTTTCTTGATATTTAAAAAAAAGAAATTTCATTTTCCTTAATCCACCAAAATCGATTTATTCGAGCGCGCGAACTTTGAAAGCTTTCCTTCGAACTGGAATACTTTTCGCATGGACCGTCATGATTTATATGGAGATCGAAAGGTAATTCAAAAAAGCTCCTAAGCTTGTGAACCTATTGAATTTTTTTTTAACTAGACTTCACGTCACGACTGTAATTAAACGCTATCTCTATCACCCAATTCCAAACTCACCCATCAAATTTTAATTGTCACAGTATCCAGTATCCAACCCTTTTTTATCGTTAACGCTATGTATATACTAAAACGCCGTTTTACAACGTACAATAAATAACAATAACAACAGCATATAAAATCCAAAATCGCCGGGAGCCTAAAGTAAATGGACCGTTATAAAATTGCAATACCAAGCAATCAGAGATTGACGTCAAAAAAAAAAATATATAAAATTTTTATTTTTCATAGAAACCCACGGCAGTGTATAAATACCATACTGAATCGTATCATAAGTGTCGTTGGATTCGACAGAAAAATGACGAAGAAAAAAAAAGAAACCAAGATGAATATATCACAGTCTGGACCAAAAGAAGATATTCCGAATAACTCTATGCAGTAACAAGGATTCCATGAATTCCCTAAAGTCCCCAAGATCCAGGTGTCTCGCTGCGTGAAACTCGGCGAGAAGCTTCGGTCCATATAAATAGTCAGGATTAAAGGTATTCGGGAAATCCTTATCCCTGTATTTCGATACGGATACAGCGCAGCATCCGCGGAGGACTGAAAATCCTTTCTGGACTCTCGTATCCACCGTTGATCCTGTTTATCTATTTATTTCCTTCTTTCTACAGCCACCGCCGTACTGGTTTACCGGATACAAAACCCGATACACAAGATGAAGGTTACTTTCTCAAGTAACGACGACAATGAAGTACCTTACGTCCCGAATGTCCAGCCTTTTTGCGCGTGTTGCGCAACTACGAAATAAAAGCTCAGCCCAGCAGTGCTTTAAAGCTCGTTAATCAAAACCAAAATCCGCGATCCTTGATTTACGAGATCCCAAGCTGCCCTCGGTGTCCCGGCCAGCCAAGAGTGCGAATCCACATGTGGGCAAAGTGCAGAAGGGTTGAAGATTCAGGACTGGGGTTGGTTGAGGGTTGAGGTTACGCCGTCCCGGAGGTCTGCGACCCAGATGCCAGCAGCCGGCTAGTCACCGTCGGTGCGTCAAGTACACTTCCGGTTTTACCCCTTTCACCCTGTTCCGGAATCCGTAGACTGCATCACGACCCCATTTATTACGTCTGATAGTTCGCCTTCTGGTGGATTTTACGAAAGGGTGGAGAACTTGCACGGGGTTAAAAATGGCCAGGGGGAGAGGGGACGAAAACCCCTGAATACCTTAAAGAACCGTGCGTGCCTTCGTGAAATTTTCACTTTCGAAAAGTTAAATCCTGCCTGGCCTATTACTCGTCGCACTACCTTACCTATTCTCGTTTTGGATCGCCGTTACGATTTGGGTTCGAGATTAAATTTTCGGGAATGATTCGCATTTCTTGATTACCATAGAAACTGCAGGAACGGGGGTATAGTGTTACGCGTATCGACGGCATTCGTAACCCCACGGCCTTTTCTGCGTCTTTATTTAGAGATTATGTAAAACGTCACTTTAACTCGGCTCTGTGTTAATTTATACCCCAGTGGCGCCGCCTGTGGCGAGTATTGAAAGTTCTGTGAAATTCGTATTTACCGCCACCGTTACGAAGAAAGGAACTATGGGCTACCTATATATACATATATATAATAGAAGAGTTGCTTGCTAAAAAAAAAAAAAGGTATAAGTGCCTAGAAGTAGGAGCGACGATACTACGAGTAGCACTAACACTACCGCCGATAGTAGTTAGCAGCGGTAGCAGTGGTTTTCTACCCGGTAATGCCGGAATCGCGCATACTTATGCAGATTAGTTTCCGGTGTAAAAGAAAAAGAAAGAAAAAAAAAGAGAGAAAATTGCGAGATTTTCCACGGAAAAGGAATATGCGGCTTTCCGACATGGAGAAAAACTTTGGTTCGTTCCACTGTAGTCCCCCCACTAGCTGGACAGTGGTGTAGTAAATGATGTATGTATATATATATGTATACGCGTACACGCCCGGAATAGGCATTACGTATTGAATGGTGACGAGAGGGGTTGGTATCCCCGGTTAAAGAATTATTACGCCGATGTTCTCGCGGAATTGAATTTATTAACAACCTCGGGAATCGCGAGCCACCCAGAAGAATGTATTGCGAAATCACGCGTTTAAAGGTCTAATTGAATTGGATCGAAGCCAAGATGCCACGGCTGGCGTCAGGGACGCTTCGGTTGCATCCGCGTCTTCCGGTAGGTATTTCTCATCCTGAATTATCCTTCCCGACAGTACGAGTTTCTATATCCTCTTCGTAAGCCCTTCTCTCTCTCTCTCTCTCTCTTTCTCATCCATCCTATGCTCATGACGTCATTCCGCAGTTCGATTCACGACGCCATCTGCCGGTACTCGTCTGCCGTTGAATAATACGTCTGACGTCACGGACAATAATATATACAACTGATCGAGTTGATTCGGGAGAAATTATCCTTTTTTTTTCTTTATACTCTCTTTTTCCTTGTTCGGGATTTAAATTTCAAAGCTCGTATCTTGCGCTTCGAGAGTGGCGGGAATATTTGAATCTCCAACGGTCTTAAGCGTCGGTTCGTGCGACCTCCTTCTACGGGACTAATATCGAAGGTAACACGCGCTCGGTGCCCTTCGCCTCTACGATTTATTCCACCCATTCTCGCTGGCATATCTCACGACGACCTAAATAATCTCACTGCGCAATCCCCGGCAGACATTTGTATTCCGCGCGTGGCTGCATTCTTTCCGCGGATGTACCGGACATCTCCGACTACCCCTGCAGCCTGCATCCTGAACCTTCCGCCGCTTTCATACTGGAAATAATTTCACATGATGAGATATGTATATGGTGTCATGCGACAAGCCCTAATAATTTACAGGGGCCAGGGCATCCTTTCGCTATGCTCCCGACCAACCAACCTTTCGCGTCGGCGGAAAACCGGAATGCGGTTTCTACGACGTCGCTCGCCCGAGCCGATAACGATTAAGTTTGTCGCGAGATGGAAGAGCCAACTTTTTTGGGGCGGGGGGAAGTGGGGGATTTTGACCTTTTTTTACGGTTACATGCTTGTGTTATATATATATATTTTTTCGTTATAGCGAACTTTCGAAATATTTTTTAAAATTTCTTTGATATTTTTTTCAATGCATATATAACACGTGGTATACGGTGCATCGACAACGCGGTATTCGTGTGAAATTTTGTTGGCGTTGTGGTTCATTAAAAAAATTTTTTTAACTTTTTTTCTTGTACTATGAAATATGATTCCGTCCGTTAGATACAGCTGGGGTGAACTTTTTGGTTGGATTTTTGTTTTCGCTTCCGGTAACCGTAACGGGTTTTCTGGCTAGGAAACAACGATCTGTCATAATAAGAATTCGAGAGAATGAGTAAAATATAATTTTACCTTTCAAGTACGCTATAATCGTGGTCTGGTGGTTCGATTGAATAATTTGTACTAGATAATTGGTCGTTAGGGGCTAATTTATTTTATCTCAACTTTACCATCCCTCCAGACACAGTAAATTACGTGAACACCCCTTATAACCCCGCGTGATAATCGCAATAAAATTGGAAAAAATTTTAACGTATCAAAAATATAATTTAACCCACTGTCATAAGATGTATTATCTGCTCGAAATTGAATTAAAATTATTCGAAGAGCACGTTATCACTTTATCATTAACGATCCATGAAACAATCCGTAAGACTGCAGAAGCCTTAATTACCATCGGGAGGTTTCGTGAAGCTAACAGTCTTGTAACGCGATGCCAATTTAATAAGGAGAAGCGAAACGCAACACCCGTTATACCTGCTGCCAAAATATTAATTATAACAAAAATGAATTTCCCCCCCGATTTGAAATTTTGAAAATTATAACTAAAATTATAACCTAACCTAAATCATTAAACCATATCATCCGCATAAAAATATATGCCCCAAGTGCACCTCAAGATTTTCGCTTTAATTGAGATGCACCCGAATCGCGCGTCTGGCGATAAATCATTACGAGGAACCAGCCGCCCCCTATTCCCTCCTCACGTAAGACTACAGAGACTAAGATTTACACCGTGTCCCAATAATTCCCCCAGGATGCATCCCGATGTATATCCTGTTCCAGAAATTCTACCAACCGTATCCCCAGTCTTCGTCCTAACACTGACCTACCGCTATCACGACTATCTCTCGTCCTAAGCCGTTGGCAAAGGAGCTGACTCCGGGTTAGCAATTGTTTGATCATCGATCGCGCCGCGATAGTCTCCCCGGTAATCCTGAACGGATTATCAGTATGGTCAGGAGGATCAAGTTCGGCATCGTTGAGTAGGTTGGGTCCTGGACAAGTCCTTCCGTACCAGATCAGCCAAGAGATAGGACTCTGGTCGATGCGAACGCCGACTGTGTAACGTATACGAAATTACGTATTTTTGAAAAAAAAAAATAATAATCCGGATACCAGTCCGAAAACGTATAACGAGATATTGAAATGTATCAGTGAATTGATCAAATTACCGAAAAGTGGAATCAACTGGCATTTCATCACAAATTGGCAAAAATTCACGCCAATATGGTATTTCGTATCTGGTACGTGATAGCGTATGCAGTCTAACCGGTATTAAGTGTGATTTTTGAATTTTCATTTTTTTATTATCATTAGTGAAATTTTCATTTTATTGTTTCAGTCTACGATCGTCCGTTGGCCGAGCATCTGTGCAGCGAGACTTCCGGAGACTTCAGAAGACTACTCACTCTGATCGTCACGGTAAATACGCACGTTGAAAGATTATCGCACGTGGGAATGACGTCAGGAGAAAGGGCGGGATTTTTGAAAATATTTATTCATAGCGTTATCGCTATCGGGCTTTGGTTTCCTGTCTGAGTCCTTGTTCCGTATACTGCTTACGTCTCTTTTCCATTTCCTTTGCTTTTTTTTTTTTTTTGAAAATTCTCTCCGTTGTCTGACGGATGTCCTGGATTTTATTTAACGTTCAACGAATCCCGGGCGATTGTCACGAGATAACGTGACTGGTCAATAACGGTGTACGGAGCTTTAATAGGCTTAGGTCGAAAACGATTAAAGCTTTGATTGATCCTGAACTCTCGTTTACGAGCTTTTACACCCGCAATGGAAATCCGCAAGCGTTATCTCCAACGACGACAGAACGACCAGTCAGATGATAAGGGTAGCTGTGAACGTAGCCTTAAATTGATCGCCCCAGCGAATTCGTTGCTGATTCTTTGATTGAATTTGTTATTAGGCCGGGTTTTGATTTGGCGGTAAATTTAAATCTATTCTTGTCCACTTTTTTTTTATTCCACATATCATTCCTACGTGTGACTACGGGAGCCATTAAACGACTGCTAGCTCGAGTAACTATACGTATCTGTAATTACGACTAATGGGAGTGACGCTCGTATCGCACTGGATATGAAAGTAGAGTGGAGGATTTTACGTTAATTATTCGAAAAAATTTCAGGCTAGGAAACATAATGGACACTGGTCATAGGAAACACGTAAAATTTTTTACTCGTGTCACTGACTGTTTAAAGTTTCATTAAATTTTGTCATTTTATTCCATTTCAACGATGGAATCCGAATCTGGATGGAATTGCGAATAATCCGCAGCAGTTTCGCTTTTGATCTGTACGTAATCAAAATTGCGATAACACGCGGGCATCTGTTAGTTGTAAGTAGATAAAGAAGAAAAAAAAATTAAGAACGCTGAGAAGACAGACTTCTCTTATCGCTTATTAAAGTTATACAACTTTTTTTTGTTTTACATCTCTCAGATTAAAATTCAAAAATTAAAATACCAATTTTAATAAACTTTTTCGCAAACTCAATATCTCGAGTAGGGAATTCCTTGTTATTAAGCTGGATCCGCCGGTACAACTTTATTCAATATTACAAGTTCGCGGAGGAACTTAAGCGGAAGTCAGAACCAGGCTGAAAAATCAGTGGGTGGTTATACCGTGCGTGTATAGTAAGCATTTGGGAGGGTATCTGTGTACCAGTGACGTGATTGAAATATGTCAAAGTGCGGACGTGTTGGTTCGTTGAAAGTTGAGGGAAAATAAAGTTGTGTCATGGACTGTCCCGGAAAATGTGTTGAGCAGCGAAGGCATGGTCAAACACTAACTGAATTAATGTCTGAAAGATTGAAAAAGTTTTATGATACGCCATGGTGGCCATTCCTGATACTAAAAGTAGTACGGATTTAATCCGCCTGGCGCGCCTCGACACATCTACATTTCTCGATCGGTATTACAGGAGTCTTAACCGTTTTTGCATAGAACAATGCCGCATGGTAATTGAAAGCTTTCGAAAGCTCAAAGCTAGAGTATTTCAAAGCTTCGCAGTCGCTCCACTGCCTGGGAGACACGTTTCTCAAATAAATAACTCTTTCGCCGTTTCAACAATATTCCGGCATTTCGCTGAATCATTCCCACAACCGGAGTCACGTTCTGCGAATTTTGGTTAATAAAAATAATGACGCAACGTAACCCAGTATCAATAGTCATCAAATTTATTAAAATTAATGAGTCAATCATAACGACGCGAAGGTATAATTTTTCTTGAAATTATAATAAAAATTTTTTCGCATCCTTTAATTATTACAAATTTACCATAAAAAGGGATTCGGGATAAATTTTATGTCTTTCACGACTCAGTCAACGACTGAAAATTCGCAGCTTTCTTTTACGCGTTAAACCTCATGCAAGGAACAGGTCTTAAAGTGAAGGAAAGAAAGAAGCGTTTAAAAAATTCTTAAAAGTGCGGCGAGTCACTGGCGGGAAGTCGTGCAACTGAAAAGACGAAAGAGTTCTTCCTGCAAGGCGAAAGAGAAATAGAAAAAGAAAAAACAAGTTACCAAGGACACTGCCATTGTTAGAGTCTCTCTACTCACTGGCTCTGCCTCGGAGCAGTTCGTTTGGCTTTATCGCGTTTATCCATTGTGTACTTTAGTAAAGCTCGCAGCTTCTGCTGTATCTTCGTTAAGAAAAACCCCCCTCAAGTATACTCGACTCTTGTATTATACCGTAGGTATACAAACCTATATACACACAGGTGTCCCCGGAGTAGTTTCAATTTACGCGACGTGCATCTTTTTTCTCGATCTAGTGAGAAAATGTCTTTTTATTCAAAAAAAGAGAAAGAAAAAGAAAATTCCAAAGAGTAAAATCCGACATTTTTATTTCTCAAAAGAACCACCTGCCTTATACCGTACAACGCGTAAGAGCTAACGAGGCTTCTTTGTGCAATTTTTATTATTTACTTTCCATTCTATTACGTCACAGCACGATAATATATTGATAAAAAAAATTCCGTTATTTCCGTATCACTGCATTGTACAGCATACCCATACACAGTGTAGTTGACATGAAAACCAGAATTTTATTTTTACATCTCATTTCCTTCATTGCCATCCAATAATGCATATTTACAGTTGAAGCCCCCCCCCCTCTCCACCTCTTCCAATAGCCGCCATTATTCCTTCTAGAATAAAACATCAAAAACTACAACGACCCATATTCGTATTTTCATATAAAGATTCGTCTTGGGGTATACAAAGATAAATATCATCCCTCCTAATCCAGATATATCATGTACCCAACTGATCTCTCGCAAATGAATATATCTTGAAGATTCACCTTGATGTTTCGTGGTTACGTAAGAAAATCATCCCTATTACCTGTACTTCAATTTTCTTCTGTTTAATTATTAGCCCGTGTTATTGAATGTCCATAAGTAACTCAAAGAAAATCTAATAAAGTCATTCGACCCTGAGCCTCATTTGTCGGAACAACAATGAACCGCAATGAATACTGGAGACAATCGGTTTCGAAGTAATGGCCCATTACAAGAGATCCGAGCATAAACCCAAAGTGTAATGGAGACCAGGTATAAGGCCATGAAGAGAGACAGAGACAGAGAGAGGGAGAGAGAGAGAGAGAAGGGTGGAGAGAAACAGTAAGAGAGACAAAGACAGAGTACCCAAAATTAGCAACGCCGTTTCTACGTACTAGGAAGTGGAGTACACTAAACAGTAGCAGACGGCCGGAAG